GATAACGTTCAATATTTGCTTTAAGTCTCTTACACCACCACGTTTTTTGTCCATTACAATGCTTCCATTGCTATCATCAAGGCTCTTTACAGGACTGAGACGTTTTATTAACTTTAAACGTGGACTTTTTCTATTCCTCTCAACTGTTTTCTTCGCGTTTTGCGAAGTAGACTTCAAATTTTCATGCTTATCATTAGTAATATCATTTTTAAATTCTAACTTTCCATCTGGTTTATGCGACAATTGTTTCAATCCTTCTGTTAGTACTTTTTTAAACTTTTCGTAATCGGGTGTATCATTGAATTTCATACTTGCTAACTGAGTCATGTATTTAAGTATGGAGGTTGGAACTGACCCATGAAAAGACTTATGTAAAAAATCTGGAATATTATCAAACGCTTTTTCTTTTTGTTTTTGTACTACAACTGGATCCGATAAATCTGTTTCCCATAAAAGCGAGCCACATAACCATTGAATCATATTATAGCCTAAAATTTCAAAATCACCGCGCATAGTTGGTACTGAAATTAGTGAAATTATTAGATCGTAACATTGAAAAAAAATAAATGTATATTCATAAATTTCATAGATTGTTTTTTATCTTTACCTCCCATATGAGCATCTCTACTGGTATATTCGATAGTTCCATTATGTGCCTTTTTTGGATCTAATTTATATTCGTCTTTTGTTGTATAATGAGAAGCCAATCCAAAATCTACCAAATATACTTTATCTTGTGATTTTAAATCTAACAGTAAATTTGCTCCTTTTATATCTGCATGTACGTATGTCTTAAAATGGATGTATTCTAATACATTTATCTAAAAAATGTACAAGTACAATTTAATAATCCATTGTACCATTGAAATACTATATATGTCGAACAATTGAAATAACATTTTTATGAGTTCTTACTATTTGCAAAGCTATTTTGTATACTGTATGTTCTGGAAATTGTTTATTATTTTCTTCAAACAGTTTCCATAAGTCTGTGCCATACCGATCCATTACAACAAATCGGTATTTTATATTCTTATATTCATGACTTCCAGAGCCTATGTATCTAGGCATTCCAAGTGCAGAAAGCTTCTTTTTCTTTTGCCAACTATTAACTGAAATAAATTTTGATGTATATAATCAAGATTGTTCAAGTAGGGTGCACATAGATCATAGATCATAGATCATGCTTAGATATTATAGTTCAATTAACTCACTTTCATCTGGTTTGGCATTTCTCATATAAAAATGCATTTCCACGAACAATGGTCCATTTCCATGTGGTTCCTGGAATAGTTTAATTTCCAAAAAATATTATACCAGACAATAAACGCAGTACAAACAAATAATTAACAAATGCTTACAATTTTAATTACATTGGGATAATCTTTTGGAGGCTTTCCATTGTAAGGAGCAGCTGGAATTGTTTATTGTGATTAAGAGAATTAAAGTACACGTGTATTGAATTAATAATTAAAAATCTGGTGTTGTTTATAAATTCAAATAGGAATAAAACAGAGTTACAGAGCTTGTGTAAGAGACTATAAGAAAGTGCCTACCGGAATAGATTTCACCAAAACCCCCGACACCGATCGATGTGCCGAGAATCCACTGTTTTTTTGTTATATCTGTTAATATTTCACCGGCTGATATCGGATCTGGCAGTTTATATGCTTTTGCTGCCTTCTTCTTCGGCGCTTTTTTCACTACTTTACCAGACATTGCGAGGTTACGAAAATGTATCGTTTGTAATACGTAGAAAAGATTCGTGACACTTCCAAAATAACGATAAAGAATCAAAAATGATGTCAATTAATATTAAATATTTACGTCTTGATAAGTTACATTTAAATAAACAGGGCAGTCAATACGAACAACAATTCTTCGTGTACAGTTTGGCTGAACCGCTGGAAACATGAAATAAATTCAAACGCGGGAAATTGCTGTTGCATATCTTCAGTGTAGTCTTGGTCGATCATAAAAATTCCTATGAACGAGAAACGCGTTGCAATAAAATTGTTTAGTTGAAGCACAATGAATTTAAAATAATTGATTTTTTTTTTAACGCTGTTACAATGTTTCTTTGACTTTAAATATACTCACAAAAACTTACAAGCAAGGGGAAGTCACCAAGTATCAAATAGTATAGCCACCTACCGACGAATAGACTGTACTATTTTACTTGTTTACTTTCAAAAATGTCAAATAACCGTTAAAGTATATTTAAGTGTGTACATATAAGAAGAACACATGATATAAAAGAACGATGAGTAAAAGCTCGTGTTACCCGGTCCGCGGAATCATTTTTTAAACCAGCACCTCGGTATTTTACGTTTCGTTGGATAGGTTTGTCACTCGTCCTTATTAGGTTACGTTTTTAAATGGAAGAGGCGGCGATTGAGTCGCCGGTGTCACATTTAGACAGTAATGATTATATCAACGAGGCAGACGACGAGAATTCTTGTGGAAATTGCAATGACACAGAGAACGAACGCGATATTCCACATGGAGAATGCACACCGCAGCAGACATCGACGTCTAGACAAATCGACAATTCCATTTTTAATACCATCTCTAAAATTGTTAATCCTGCGGCAAAGGTAAAAGAAAATTAATTTGATGAAATAATAGTTTGATTACGCATTAATAAGGGTTTAAAATACAAGTTTGTTAACGCTATATTTAATGTTTAGGTACCCGAAATTCAAGATTTCAAGATTGTGAAGCCTATAAGCCGTGGAGCATTTGGTAAAGTGTTTCTTGGGTTCAAAAAGTCAAATCCTGACAAAGTATACGCCATTAAAGTAATGAAGAAGAACGAAATGATTAATAAGAACATGGCTTCTCAAGTGATAATTGAACGCAATGCTTTGGCTTTAACCCGTAGTCCTTACTGTGTACAATTATTTTATTCGTTGCAGTCGGTTACCAGTGTCTATTTAGTAATGGAATATATGGTCGGGGGAGATCTTAAAAGTTTGCTCGGCGTATATGGGTATATGGAAGAGCCAATGGCAGCTTTTTATACTGCAGAAGTGTGTCTCGCGTTGGAGTACCTTCATTCTCATGGCATTGTGCATAGAGATTTAAAACCAGACAACATGCTACTGTCGCGAGAAGGACACGTGAAGCTGACAGATTTTGGGCTTAGTAAAATATCCTTGCATAGGGACCTTGAAATATCCGATTTAGTCAATTGTACACCTAGCCTTTTAACCAGAACCCCTGGACAACTCCTCTCGCTGACGTCGCATTTATCTTTTGGCTCTGGTCAAAGATCCGCCAGCGAATCCAATCTCAGCGAGAAGAGCACGCCTGGTGTTAATCTACTCTCTGCCTTGCAAAAACATTGTACGAAATTTCAGTCGTCACCCAACTCGGTAGTTTCCTCTGCAGCATCGGGAGATTATTCTCGAGTATCTGGCATTACTCCCTTCCAATCTGCCGAGGATCTCTGTTTCGGGGAACGTATAGCGAATAATGTGATTGTTGAAACAACCGACGCGGGACAAGAGAGCAGCTCTGGAAGTTACTACACGTGCGAAGCATCTTCCATTCGAGAGAACAATCAGTTGAGTAAGGACGCGGAAGACGAAGACGAGTCTACTCTGGAAGCTGAACAGTCTCAGCCGTCTGCTTTTCATACTAGTCCATTGAGTACGTGCGTGAATTCTTTGGTGCGAGGCGCGAAAAGGAAGAGGCCAACGGCAGGGGGGGCGACTGGTTTAACCTGTGAAATAAACGCAATGGAATTGGACGTGGACAAGACACCAAAACGAAAGAATCGCGGCTGTATATTTTCCAGAAGCCCGATGGATTCCAATATTTGCGAATCGATACAGCAATCGAATATCGTAAAGAACGCAGCTGAGGTACAAGAGAGCGGATCCGGGGGAAGGGTTGCATTCAGTACACCCGTCTCGTCGACGAAACAAAGGTGTTACAGCGACGGAGATAGGGAGAAATCCGAAGAGGGAAGAGCACCTTTGATCAAAGCTACCAGATTCCAGCTACCGCTGCCACTCGCGTCACTCCGAGGTTCCGATACGTCCGTGAACGATTCGGTGGAAAAGCATCGCTCTCCTCAGGGCATATCGCCTATCAAGACTCCAGCTAATTCGGGAAACTGTTACACACCTTACAGAACTCCAAAGTCCGTGAGAAGGGGTGGTCATGGTGGTATAAAAAGTTCGGACGACCGCATACTCGGGACGCCCGATTATTTAGCTCCAGAGTTACTTTTAAAACAAGGTCATGGTCATGCGGTGGATTGGTGGGCTCTAGGCGTATGTCTCTACGAGTTTTGCACCGGTGTTCCGCCATTCAACGACGAATCGCCGCAAGCTGTGTTCGCTAATATCCTGGCTAGGGATGTACCTTGGCCCGAGGACGAAGAATCTTTGTCGTCGGCGGCCACGGAGGCTATAGACGCTCTCCTCACTTTTGACCAATACGAACGACCCTCCGCAAAGGAAGTACGAGCTATGAGTCTCTTTCAAGATTTCCCTTGGAACGAACCGCTCAAGGCGGTGCCGCCTTTCATACCTCAACCAGACGATAATTACGATACATGCTACTTTCAAGGTACTTTTCATTCGTTCTTCTCAATTTTACAAACATGCAAAGTTCGTTTGAAATCGAGTGGGTAAACGTGTAATTGATTCGCCCCTTTTCCGTTTTCAGCACGGAACATCATGCAGCATCTAAACGTGAGCAATTGCGACACGTGATCTAGGCTAAACTGAGGAAACTGTTGATACACTGCCCTGCGTTACGACGGGAATAGAATGTTAACACAAGAATTGTTACATTGTAAAACTATTTTTTTATATAGTTATATAAGTATAATACTAACAAATATTTTGTTACGACTTACAATTTCCACGTGATCACGTATCTATAGGCGAAGATTCGTGACACCTGTCTTTCGCTTGCTAACGATTGAGGAAGGATGGAAGAAATTACGTAGATCAGGAATGCGTTGATGATATCTTTGACCGAACGAATGTTAGCGTTACGCGTGTACAAGGACTCGTTATCCTACATGATGATGTATCGCGTTGTTGGATGACGGTGAGAATGATATCGACCAAAACGAAATACTTTAACGAGCGAAAGGAGTATGCATCTCCTTTAACATGCTCGTTTCTACTTCAGATTCTTGTTGATCCAGGGCAGGAAATGCGTTACTCTCGTATAAACGCCTGGATACTGGCCTTTGCCGCATCCGATACCCCAGCTGACGACACCCACTTGCGTCCAGCGTCCATCGTTGACCATCAGGGGACCACCGCTGTCACCCTGCGATAAACATTATTAAGTCGTTAGCGTTTCAGCGGGAGGTAACGAAGAAATACTGCGCTACAAACCGAACAAGAATCTTTTGCAACCCGTCCTGCACACAAGAAGCTGTCCACGATACCGCCGGGCGCTGCTGCACCATATTTCTGTTTACATTCGGAGTTGGTCCAGACTGGTACCGAAACCTCTTGAAGTATCGCGGGTTGCGGGCCACCTTGACGAGTTAAATATAACAATATACGTATATTATATATCTGTTCAGAGGTTGGAGCAGTTCTGCAAACTCTTTCTCTCTTACTCTCTCTCAAGGATCCCCAACCGATAACGGTAGCAGTTTTTCCAGAGTACAGCTGGGAACCACTTGGCAAGCAAATGGGTCGTATTTGAGCCGTGAACGGTACGGGTTCGCTGAGGGTCAGGAGAGCGATGTCGTTGTAGAGGGTACGCAGATTGAATCCTCTGTGTCTGACTATTCGTTTCACTCGTCGTTCGATGTGTTTGATCTCTGTGTTGGTCTTGATGTTGTAGTCGCCGAGACGAACCGTCAACCTCGCCACGTCCCACGGATTCATGCTAGGAACATCGAGTTTTAGTTACGATTGTTTAGATTTTCTATTATATCGAAACAGTACGAAACAAGACAAACTCGAAGGGAATGGCCCATACGTTAAACCCTCGAATCGATTGTTTTTTAAATTCCAAAAAAGCCCAACAAACATGCCACGTTTTTGTCATGCTGCGCGTCTGTCAGAGACTTACTTGGCAACGCAATGAGCTGCGGTGAGAATGTGTTTATCGTCGATGAGCGACCCGCCGCAAAATTGCCGACCAGAGTTGAAGAGCGCCGCGATCCAAGGCCATTCGCCAGGGTCAGCATTCTGACCACCTACAATGCGTTCCTGGTCTTGAATACCGTTCTTCGCTCCACATTGAGACGAGACCGCGCTAGGAAATCCCCCTGTGGTGGATCTTTGGGTTGTGGACGACGTCGTCGGTGCACCAGGCCACCAGCCAGGTTTCTTGGTCGGCCAGGTGGTTCCATAGGTGGGTTTTTTCGTGGTGGAAACTGGTTTCAACGTGGAGATCGTCACGAATTCGTGATACGGTGGATGGGTGGGTAACGGTGGCACGGTGTGGTCAGGTGGATGCGTCGGTATCTGTGGTGGCCAGGAACCTTGTATTTGCGGTGGCCAGGAATCCTGTGGCTTTGGTTTCACGGTTACAGGGTCTTTCTTTTCGCCCTTATCCGTTTCCTGAAATATTCGGGAAAAAGTGAATTTCCATTTGATTCAAGGATCCAGCAAATTTTTACTCTCTCGAATTTCATACTTTTAATGGAACGCGACCAAGAGTCGCCAATAAAGATTTTACGGGAGAACTGGTCGCGATCGGGTACGGTAGTAAAGTAGATCGTTAAAGTTCGTTTGCGAAATTGCGAGGGTCCGATAGAGATAGCCGAGGTGCGACTTTCTACGTCGAATCTAATGTTTTCGATTCGCATCACGTATTATTTTTACGAGTTCCTGGTAACTAACCGAACTCTACGATCGAACGAGAAATCATTCGAACCGAGGCTTTATCCCAGGGGAAAGTTTTGTTAGCGACGTGGCCTAATTAATGTCGTGTTACTTTTTCTTTTACGTTACAGTGAATAAATCGTTTTGCACATCGGTTTACCTGAACATCTTCTACACTGGTCTTATCGTCGTTGTCCGAAGGTGGCGTAACAACTGGAAGTACGTTGGAGCAGCAAATTCCAAAGCTCGTCTGACCGGACTCTCGGACGTAGCTGCAGGTGTCGTAAACTCCGAGGACCCAACCGTCCAGGGCGCTCAGATCAGGGATTTTGAAATATGGATAGCACTCTTTGAAGCTGGCGCAACGACCAACCTCGCCCTTCGACGTCAGGCAGGACTCGCGAGACGAAATTCCGTTCCAGAGGATACCACGGCTGTCCCTCGATTCGAATCGTACATTTGAAGCGCCGCCAGCTACGAAATTAAATAGTATGTTGCATTCATTATCGATTAAGATCACATTGTAATGTTTACAAAGGAATTAAGTTATATCCATTCTTTAACGATGTCCGACAAAGAATGACACATCGTCTACCGTTGCGATGAATGCAGATTGTTTATGTAACGTTGTGTAGGTGCCTGCGTGACACATTCGTCGAAACAACGTGTCATTCACACCAGCAGACTTACACTTTTGTATAAAAAGGAATTCGACACGTACATACATATATACTCGAAAGGATTTTCTTTTAATGTCATAATCGACAATTCCCATGTAAATTTTACATCTTTCCAAGACAATCTTTAGGTTTGTCCGAAGCGTCGAATAAATAAATTAAAATTTCGTATAGTTAGTTTAATGGTCGACTTAACAATTAGGTGATCGATACAAACTTTGATTGATCGCGTGCAACGTATTTTCAATCGTACACAGAAACTCTGTACATTTGTTGCGGCGCCACGAATGTATTCCTCTCATGCTCGCCGCGACACATTCTGATACGTCGTACTGTCGCAGAGAATGTTAATTGCGGAGGATTAAGAAAATGGCCTACTTCACGATTCGTAGCGGTCGAAGCGTAGTTGACAGTGCCGACGAAAATTTATCCGATCGATTGGGACGGAGATATATCGTCGTAAAATTCCACACAGATTCTCGACACTGAGTTCGCTGACCCAGGATACATACAGGTGTACGCGTGTGCCAACGACGAAGGCTGGTACGCGCCTGGAAGACTTCCGTTCGCCGTGTATGGAGTGATGGATCGGTAGTCGATAACTCACCTTCGGTTATTTGGACGCATGCCAGACGTATCTAGTGTCGTTAAGTGTATTTGAAAACTTGAACATCTTGATATTTTATGATAATTTGGGAAGGAGAAATTTTAACAACGTTCATCTCTGTCTCTGACAGTTGTGATTAACCGAGGCTAGATGAGTAGGAGTATGTCAGTATTATCAGAAATAATATAGTAATTTATAGTAATAATATAGTTAACTTTTCATTTTTGTTAAAGACCGCCAAAATGATATCGACGGTGACTCACCATCAATGATCACCGTGTCATCTTCGTTTGCCCAGGTCTCGTCGCTCGCGGGGTCAAGGATTACAGATCTGGCCGCAGGATCAGCGCAGGTCACGTCGGCGATCGCGAAGATCACCATGACCGTCTGCACAACGAGCACTAGCACCATCGTCACCGACGACATGTGTCGTCGTCTGTCGTAGTCCGGTCTGGGGTGTAATCACAGCAAGAAGAAGAACGCGTAAACCTTGGGCTGAGCACGATATCTTGGGGTGCAGTTACTCGTAGGGATCCTGGGTCCGACACTAAGTTGCTAAGCTGCTGAATGGCCGCTGCTCGAGCTTATAACGGGCTCGTCCTCCCCTCTCGTTCTCATTCTTCTGTTCTTTGCCCCTAGCAGGTTCGACGCGACGAATCATCGGGAGTCATCGGGCTGTACTCTTGTTCTTTTACCGATTGGCGAACATCTTCAAGCGTCTCTGGGGATCCTTCGCGAGAAACAGGGTTGAGGGCGCTAACAACTTGCCACGATATGGATGCGAGAAATGTTTCGTCACCGCTTCTAAGTTTGTTTCGACAAACTCGTATCGGCGCTAAAAGGGTACGTAAAATAAAAGTCTGTATCGTTAAAAAAAAAGTACTTATTAAAAAGGTTCTGCGTATTTATCGAATGTAAATTTTTCGCGAGAAATTGTATCCAGCCGAGAACGCGACGGCCCTCTAATTGCTCTGTATCTCGTTTCTTCTTCCATAATGATTTGTCGGTCTCTTCGAAGATCGGTCGTATCTAATTTGTCCGTTCGATAACGGACGACTGCTCTGTTATCCGATATGTATCAGGAATATGTAATTCGACGGGGACGAAATACGTTCTCGGTCGTTCGAGTCGGTTCACAGTAATTTTGCGTCGATGATTATGCAAGTTACGTGACGGAACCGGCTCAACTTTGATTTGTCGCTGTTCGAATCACCCGTTGAACATGAATAGCCGAGCTCGAGTCGCATTTGCATAGAGAGTACGATCCTCGGGTTGGCCTTGAAGAGGCCGGGGAGAAGGCTGCACGTAAGGGACGGCCGTGAACTTGCCAGCCGTGTGATCCTCGCGCACCATCGCGAATGCCAAGCGCGGTAAGGTGTGCATTTCCTTCTGATCACAATGAATGGAATTTCCACGAACCTGCCAGAATACTTGGCGAGGCCAATAAAGGCAAAGGTTCGTCGAGACAATGCTAAGGTAAAGAAACCAACGCGTAATCGGGTATTTGTTTTGAATATTCGATTTTCAATGCGAACCGAGATCATAGTTAATTGGAAAAATATCTTCTTCGCGATCAGCTTTTCAGAAAAAAAGAGGAAAACAAAGAAAGAAAGGTAGGGTCGATCCTTGAACATGGACGTAAACTTTGCGTATCACGGTTCAACGAACTGCTATTCGAAAGGGCGGGGGGGAAAGAACACGGTTTGGCTTTACTCTTTTTTGTTTCTCCCGTGTCTAGTTCGAGAAGACCATTAATAATTCCTGTCGGAGAATCGTCGATCATGGTCAGCGTCGTCGATATGTTTACAAGCGTCGGTGTTACTTTTCTCGAAGAATTCAAATGGTCCGCGAGTAATAAATGATTATTCCCTCGTTTAAATAAGCTAATTATTAATTAGTTTGCATAAAAGATTGAGAATCTTCCTTTGAAAGCATTGTTTTCGACGCAATTTTGACGATGCATCGTTGATACTTGGATTCTGGGAAAGTTGGCGCCGCCCTTGGCGGAAGGGACTCAACAAGCCATAAAGAGGATTGTTGTTCCACTCGACAAAACCGGACTATACCGAAAATACTCGCGAGCTATTTGTAGGATCAGGAATATCGGGCCATCTCGGATCCTGCCCTCCCCCTCTTTTCGCAGAAAATTCTTCAGGGATCGTTGTCTGACGGACGATGTCCCTTTTGGTGGCAGAATTTTAATAGCGATGGTATCTCCGGGCTTAATTGCGAACCGATGTCTCTGGAAAGATCAAGGGGACTCTGTTTGTAATTTTAGTCTCGGATGCCTGGAATTCTCACGGAAAGCTTACATGGTTTTTTCCCTTCTAAGCGTATTGCGTTACTTGATATATTCGTTCTAATTCGAGACGTTCAATTTCTTGTTCGGATCGACGCCTGTTTTGGACCTGATTTAAATACACGCCAGATTTATGGCTGACACGTTATTTACGTGTACGTCCTCGAGCTACGAGATCAAACAGGATATTATTTTTAACCCTCTCCGTATATTTTTAACGTTTGTTGCCTATTACTCAACGACTGGACGAGGAAACCGAACCTGAGGTTTAACGACCGACTCGGACTAAGCCTATGCGTTCACCACAAAATCCTATTCGTAGTATTGATTAAGGAATCGAAGAGTCGTGATTTCGGTGACCGGTACGCATCGGCCAATTAAACGAACGTGTCTTTTTCTTTCAATGGACACAACAAATGGCTATACTCGAATGTTATTCCTTTGTCTTGATTTTGCAGTGGCGCCACTGTTCGATCATTGGCTCTTCTGCCTCGGAAACGTAGAAACCGGTTGCGTCAGGGTTGCTTTTTATTATGTAGTCGTAAACAGTATCACAGCGCTCCTCGATAACGAACCGCGTCTTCCAACGCTGTTATAGAATAATCAAATGCACGATTTATACCTTGCGTAAGTATATTGTACATATATTGTACGGAAGAGCGAGTAATTTGTCAACCGACGTACCTATCGCGAATATAATTTCCAAAACGATAACGATATTTCAAGTGACCGGCGCGCCGCGGCGACCTTGGAGAGTTTTCGATGGCTCTTTCATAGAATAAAAGAAAGAAATGGCGTTGCCCCCTCGATATTGAATGACTTTCTCCTGAAACGTTCAGCGACTTGTTTTAGTTTTTTACCACAGACGAGAATCATTTCTTACTTCTGTACAACTTTCCACGCAGAGGGTTTTTATTTTCTTTTTTATTAGATTCCTGGCTAACAGGTTTGATCGGGTACCTGGTGCAGACTATTCCGATGTTTCTTTGATGCGAAAAGAAATATACAACACATTCATCCTATCTCATTGTTTCTTTAGATCTTTTAACTGCCGAGGGTAACAATATTATTCTACCTTAGCGGACACTCCACTAAAAATCGAAACACGTTTGTACAGGTTTTTCTAAACATAGAAGGCTCTATGGGAGGAGCTACTGTGTAATCTCACTCGTGATAGGGAAATAGCTTCGAGAGGCCAATTGATTTGGCGCAAAGAGCAAATGGAAGTATCCGTCGGCGTTACGGATAACCGAAAGATCGTCTGACAAACACATTCCTTTTCTCCTTACAGTAGTAACGTAACGTATTCCGCTTGAACTTTATCCCCGGTCTATTTTCAAGGTTCCTCGACGCGCCAATAACAACACGTAATTTATAAAACGTACTAATATAATATTTATTGTTTGCAATAAACAGCGTAATATAATATCACCTCTGGCACAATCTCACGATGGCAAGACAACGCGAAAACGGTATATAATCGGTACTCTCTCACAACATTTCTGTTCCGGGGACGTTTCCTCCGGATTCACGCTTCGTCCAAACAAAACAGTACATTGTGCGCGTTTAGGCCTAATAAAATCGGCCTTGTTTAAACATTCCACCGCTCGCGCGGATACATTTCTAACGAAGCCTGTCGGCCGCGTTCCGCATCGTCGTTTACGTGGTTTAAGTATGATATCGAGACGGCTGAGAGATGATCACGGGAAAACCAAAAATTTTTAATTAGAAATACGCCGAGCAGGGGCAGTCTGAATGATATTCGAACGATAGACGACGAATGAAAGCATTCCGTGACAATTTACTCGTAAATAACATTCGATTGAACTATTATTCGGACAAGCTCCTATGCGTTCATCGCCAAGTATGGTTCATTTGTCAAATTTTACTTGTTACTTGGAAATTTCGTATAAAATTGAGAATATTTACCATCTCTGGCGTCGAGATACACAAAGATACACAGAGACAGCCTCTTTCACCAGGTCTGGTTAGCGATCGAGGTCTTCTCGTGAACCTAACGCGGCCGCCTTTTCATATTGTATCATTAATTAATAATATTAATAAACGTAAGGATAATAAAGGGATCGTGCGATAGCAATAAAAATATCGACGAGTCTTTTCGAGGTGCAACGGCGATAATGACAAAAAGAACATTTGAGTGATTCAAGGCTGAGCTATGTGCGCGTGGCTTGTAGGGGATTTATCGATTACGGATAAAAATGTCATGGAGCAACGCTAACAATCTTCATAATCTTGTAGATATCCCTATTCTCTCTCGACTCTCATTGTCAGACATACACTTTCATTCATTCCGCGTACTTTCGTTCTCGCACTCTTTTTCTCGTTCCTTCCTCGCTCCTTCTTCTTTTATTCTTCATTCTCGCACCGTCGATACACTCATCCCTTGTATAAAAATAATAATAATAAAAATAATAATAATAATAATAATAATAATAATAATAATAATATACGATATTATGTAGCTCTAGTCAATAGAATCAATAATATTAATAATATCAAACTATATGCTGTCTTGCAATAGATGTAACAAAATATAGTACTCATTATAATAATATGCATTTTACAAGCGTATTTTGATCCTTGCTTTGATATCGGTGTGTCGCGACTTACGTACGTTTGTGTGTGTATGAATCGTGATTCTAGTCAAATCTAAACGCGACCAACTACCATTTCATCGTTGAAAATGTATGCAGGCGTGCGTGTATGTATATAGAGCGTACTTTTGTTCGTTTCGATAAAAGTTACGCTATGAGAATGGCAAACGGCTAACGTTGAACACTCGAACCCTTTCGGAGATGTATAATAGGGTTTCGAGGGTGGCAAATGAAAATGTCAACCAAACGGGTCGTGCAACGTTCTATTAGGAGATGGATTAACAAATTATACCAATGGAGCATAGCTGCTTCACCGTGAACGCAACATGAACTCCGTCGAAATTTTGCATGCTACTAGTCTTCTAAACGATTATTTATCTTCTTTGCATACAATCGTCCATGGAGAGTTACGTATTCGAGTAATACTTGGTCTTTGCATGATACGGATGCGATTTTGGGACACTCGGGAATGTCAACGAAGTATCTAAACGATAACTATTAGTAGATGAATGTTTGTATAAATAACGCAAAATTGGACAGTTCGTGCACGGATTACGGTAGCGTGTGAGTGTGTGTGAGTGTGTGTAAGAGCATAACGATACGAAGAGATAATGCTCGGATGGCACCCGTCTATCTTAGAATGGCGGCGTTGAGAATTATTCTTTTCTTTTTTTTTTTTTTGAGTTCCATGCCAGAGATGGGACAAATTTTATTCGAATATTAAATAACCGATAAAAACCAAAGATAAACGAAGGCAGGAAACCGTAGTTTTTATATTTTATAATGTAGATTCAAGTTTCCATCGAACAAACGTTATAATAAAAGAGTCGTTTATTTAGGTGGATAAGAGTTTTGCCCATCTCTGTTCTATGGCTCGTGTCTCGCTATAAAACAAACTTTCGCGTTCTCGTAGACGGTTGAGACCAGCGATACCTCGCTTTATCGAACGCGTAAACAATAATTTTAAACAAAAGAAATAATTCGTGTCGGTTAATATCAAAGCATTTATTTTAAATTAATTCGAAAATCGTTAAAATAAATGCTTCGAGGCTAATGAACAGGAATTATTTTTATTGCTAGCCTATGTTTAAGAATTTTAAACTCTAAACCGACGATACGATATAGCGTGAACATTTTCATATACAATCTATACGTCATACGTATTGCTTAACATGTAACGAGGGGGTTGGAGGGGATTTGGGATGGGTATTCCTTAAATCAGTTTTGATTGATTTACATATAGCCGTCGCGTTTTCAACCGCGACACCGCGGTATCTTTCTAAGCTAACAACCATCGATATAAATTGTTCACTAGTGAAAAAAAAAAGAAAACAAAAATATAAAATAACGAGTCGCTTTGCGCGGCTAGAGATACGTTTCTTCGCCATCTTGCGCATCGAATCGAAAAGAACGCGTGTACAGGCTGCTCGGTGACTGGTATCGCAAAGAAAAAGAAAGATCTTTCGATGTCCTTATTATACATTCCGTGCACACAAGTTGTGATAGTTTTATCATAAAATTTACAACAGCATACCAAGAGTTTTGGCTGTAACAAATACGAGATTGGGACAAATACAAATAAGATCTTTCAATGAACGAACTCATTTATATTCCAACCAGTCTCGTAATTTTAATAGAACGTGTCGAGAACCGACTTTTAATATCAACAAAACAAACGCGTCCTCGAGATCAAACGTCTCCCCGTGTCCACGGAATCCCTCGTTCGAAGAAATCGCCTGTCAGCGTTGCTCGATCAACGCAAGACAACCACTATATGAACTAATAATCCGATTTGACTTGTTAAATTGTACGGTACGGACAAGTACGTCAGTCCAGTTCGGCAGTCCCAAGTGCAGGCAGCGGAACGCGGCTCCTCGTAAACTGGGACATTCGCCGAATGTGTCTTCGTATCTTCCTGGGCATCTTCATCGGGTCGATACTTCTCTTCCGACTTGCACTGGTTTAAACAATCTTCTCGCGCAACATCCTGAAAACTGCACGCGTTTCGACAATCTTCCCATGCAGGTTCCTTAAAAGTCTTCTCGGGTCGAACTCTGTCGAGCGTCGTTTTGCATTGCACCGTGATCGATGATCATTCGAGTCGCGATCATCGTCGGCAGCTCCGTCTCTCGGACTTATTTACACAACGAAAGCTATGGAATATTTATATAGGTTTTTTTTTCTCCTCGTGCACTATTGCCTCACGTGTTGCCATTGTCGTGGACATGCGAGTGTCCGTGGGCAGAGTTGGCGAGAGGCGAATGGGCCATGTGGGTTGGCGATGAGGGTAGTTCGATGAGCGTGACGTCGTATCCTGCGGTGGTTGGCGGGTCCCCTGGGTCGCCAGGATCACCAGGTGATCCAGGATTGTTCGGGTTGCGGTCGTTGCTGGGGTCGGGATTTACTCTGGAGTGGCTCACCTCGAGGAGGAACAGGTCCTCGTCCACGTAATATCTGATCATGTCATCGTCAATTTTCGCTGTAATTCTGAAACAGGTGGACGAGACCGTCGTTAGCGTCGATGGTAATCGTAGTGCCGTAGCTAGTCCGATCGAAAAGAAAATGTTCGATAGTCGAGGAAAATCGTCATTCGAAAATGACCAGGCTGAAACGCGTTAAATACGAGTAAGTGAGCTGTACTCGCTACGATATCTCGAACATTGTCTTTATGGATGGAATGTCGAAAGAACGAAAGGACGGTGACGGAGCTCGAGAATAACGTGTACGTTAGAACCTGATTTTCATGTGTTTCGTGTCGAGGGGTAGGAAATTGTGTGAGAGATACTTTAAACAGAGTATGCTTGAGGAGACCTTGCTCGATAGTTCGACAGATTCGGTCGTGCGCTGAAACAGTCCTTTCGAAACAGTATCAGCTACCATTGCATCTATTCTATTTGATTATAATTTTCCAAAATCGAGTACAGCTCGAAAGAATTGGAAAAACCGCCAAACAAATATCGGGGATGAGAGATACGAACAATGAAAATTACAGTACAATCCGAGGTACAGTTCCAGCAATGTTTTTCATTTAAGACTTCGATTTGAATGTGATTCGAGTAGGCGATCCTTCAACTATTTCGAGGTTAATCATTAATCATAAATTTCCGTCAAAGTCATCAAAATTGAAACATCCTTGAAACAAGACTTATCGATGCATCATGCCTGATCGAAGCAGGGCGTTGCGCGCGCGCGAATCTGTCGGATACGCGAAAGCAGCGGCACCGAAGTCACGAATCAAAGTGAACGTCTCGTCGGGCGGAAAGTGAAAACACAAAGAGCAAAACAACAAAATACACGTTTAGTCTCAGGCAAATGAAATGGCGTGATGCGACCGAGAGGTAGATACATGCTGGAGTCTAAGAAGCAAAAGCAGACATGCGAAGAGACAAGCAAGGAAGGCAAAGTAGGCAGGCAGCGCGTACTCGTGACAGAAGAAAAAAAAGAACTCGCAGAAGAGATTAGTGGATTAGTCGAAGCTTAGGGAGACACGGAAGTTGGTTGAATCGGTGTGGTCGACGGTAACGGACGCGGTAGGCGCCTTACTCCTCTATTGCATGAATTTTACTTTACATGTATTTCAAAGAAAACATTATTTTTTGGTTGTTAGTATATTTATGAATGAATTAATGTTTGAGTTAAACGGTAAGCGAGGAAAAGGAAGAGTTTCAGACGTACACCAGGCAGAAAGAAGCGATTGGAGAGTATTATATGGTTCGCATATCGGACTAGAGAGCGATAGATAAAGAGAAGGTGATTGCATTCGGAAAGAGGCATGATCTTAGCGAGAAAGGGAGAGACTACCAAACCAGCCGGAGAGAAGTCAGGCAATGTCACCGTTATGGCATGCACTACGTGGGCGGTGCATGCAAGTAAAGATGACACTCTACTAAACTTACCCCTTTGTGTTTTTGCGATAGAGGTTATTAATACTCGAGGATGCAATTTTGTACTTTGACTCAATCTGTAAAATAGAAAAAAGTAGAACATTAGAACTTTGACAGTGGTTGCGGACCATCGAGTCGGGGATGATTTCTCGTCAACGACCCCCGAAAAGTCTACCGTTACCGTACGAGTCCGCGGCCCCGCGAACAGAGACAGCCAAGAAACAGAGAAGGGACAGAAGAGACCCGTCGCGTTTAGAAAAATCACTTTGTAACGAAACCGAACGACCCGATAAATAGGCAACTTTAAAATTCTGTCGTTTTGTTGAAAAACAGAACGCAGTATAACTCGAGAACAAGATTCGAGACGAGAGATTGGACTCGTTTCTGCAGAGCAAACTAAACGCGCGTGAAAGAGAAGAGGAACAACAATTACATTTCTTTCCACTTTTTTCTTCTGCTGCTGGATCGCTACTCTACAATGCGAACCTCGATATCTTCCGACTTCCCGAGCAATGCAGTATTTAATGCAGTACTGACGTCGAAACCATCGATCGTGTCTTGCATCACAGGGGTTAATCGGTCGTACTCGACCGTATTAATTTGTGAGGATTTTGGAGGAGTTGATACATGCGCGTTAATATTAATACCAGCATATGGAACGGTGCAACAAGTATTAATAATGGGTGTGGTATGTCCCCTCGCATGCATGGCTAGTACTTCATGGGTGTGTTTCTTGTATATCCCGTGTATACTCTCGCGCATCACCCGTTAGAGCTGCAGAGATTAACCCTTAGGCTACAGACTGTAATATTCGAAACGAACGGGGGATGAAAAAGTTACGCAAAGCAAACGTTTGAGTTTAAATTGTTGCTGGCCTCGTAAAAAAAAAAAAAAAAAAAGAAAATAGTATCGAGGCTCCTCGCGGATACTGTAGCTCCAAGGGTCAATTAAATCTTAATCCGATGCTGTTCGTTACTCATACCGTAGGCAACCAGTGTCAAAATCGAACACGGTTGCAAAGCGAAACGTGATTAATTAGGTGCGTCGAGATTATCGCGATGTTAACTGTCGCGAACGTCGAAACTTGTCGCTTTCTATTGGGACTTGTTACCGTACAGGTTCTCGAAACGTTCGTTCGTTATAAATAGAAACGAACGATACCGCGTTTTCGAACGCACCCGAGCTTAACCGTTGCTTATTTATGTAACTCGCGACTTTTATTTGACTACGGTTCGCGCGATTTCACCGTTGGAATTGTTTCCATCTGTTGGAGACAACAACTTTGATTAGTACTTGGTCCACCCTATCTAAATCGATTGTTCCTTCGGGGCAGCAGTCGAACTCAAATGGTTGACGCTGAAACTATTCGTGTCTTCGACTAGGTGTGTTGGACTGGATGCGTGTGGTTTCTATAAAAATGTTTGATGGTTCTTACAGCATTTAAAAGTCCTTGGACGGTTGGTGGCGTGACGTGCAGAGGCGTGTAAACGTCTTCGGACTCCTGACGGACGTAGAGCATCACCCTCTCCTCGGCATCCGCTGGACGAAGATGGGGGGGTTGTTGTTGAAGGTGCAGTCGATTGCCAACCCCTGAGACCACCGTTCCAGCGAGTCCAGCTTGCTGCACTCCTTGGAGCACCGAGCCCTGAAGCTCTTGGACCTGCATCAGCAACGAGTCCTTCTTGTCGTGCAGGCTAGTCAGATTGTCGGGCGGAAAGTGGTTGTGGAACTTGAGGGCAGGCAAGCTGGGTCTGCCGCAGGCTGGATAAGGGCTGCTACCACCCGCTTTCAATCCTCCGCCCTCGCCATTACTGAGGGACGACGTGTCGGTGTCGCCACCGCCCCCGCCGCCACCTCCGTAGAAGCCTGACAACTCCATCGTCGAGAACTGTCGTGGAACAAGAAAGAAACATTTTTTTTTTTTTTATTCGCACACGAGCCACTATTTGGCAATAGTCGATCTGTCTACCTACGAGGACGAAACGAGACAGAGAAATCCGCAAAGGAAATTTAATCGTGTATATGGTTCGACCATCGTCCTGATGGTTGTTATCGCGATGTAAGAGTTGCGTTTGGAGGAGAGTTCTGGCGGTGTTGAGAGCAGAGGATTGTGGTGGAGACTACGTAGACTTTTTTTGTGCCATTTTTAAATAGAAATATTTGGTAAATAGTGTCGGTAATGTTGCGTGGCAAATTCTCTGATAGTTTTCTGTACTTTTCTATCCGTCGATTCGGAATACAGACCTTGTCGATGGTGTGCTCCGCCGGTGGAGAAAACAGGACCGGAGGTTTATGGAGATCCACCATGGAATAAAATTCGCTGCGTTCCGTGACCGAATGGTAAAGTTCGTCCAGCTTTTTCCTACCGGTGGCCGTCATCTTCCTTTTCGCCGCTCTCCTCTCTTCGTCGCGAGTCTTCCTCTCGGCACCCTGGTAAACAACGCCAGCGATTCATGAGTTTCGAGATTCGCAGCATTTCATTTGATTTAAAAACGTTTAGTTTAGTTTACGTAACGACGACGAAAAGTCGAGGTTAATTACAACTACCTTATCGCAAAAGACTTTGATCTGGCAATAGCCACGATGCGATGGAGGTGTATACGAATGAGCGTGTGGCGGTGGTTCCTCGTAGGTATCGACTTGAATGTGTAGCGGCAAACCCTTCACACCCTTCTGACTCGAGAAATCAGTGCTAAGACACTGCACAGCTACGTTGATCTGTAACAAGAAACGCGGGTATCCTCGATCAGCTCGTCAACATTTACACGGGAATGCATGAATAAGCTTTTCCATCGAAGCCTCCTATTCATCGTTACACGCAAGTGGAATCTCTCTAACGAACGACGATGAACCTCGTACCTTTGCCGAAGATTCGAGTGGGTTCCAATACACAGCGATCGCATTGTGCGCGATCTCCTCGATGCATCCCACCAGTCCCACGCTGTTCTTCGTGTCTGTAACGGAGTAGATTATTGTTAAACTCGCAAATCACTCTGCAAACGTTCGAAAGGGCATCATCTTTTCACCTGCGTCGCTTCTCGTTTAATCTTACCGAGTCTCCGATAGTCCTACATCGAGCAGCTTGTGCAAAAAATGAAAGGTATACGTCCGTACCTCAAAGGCTAAGTTCATTTATACTTTTCGTTGCTATTTAAAATATTTAACTGTTGAAACCAGTATTTACGTATGCAACTATGAAAGATACAAAGATGCATGATTTTAGTTTTGATCGAGGAAAGCTGATTAGAATGTAATCGGTGCTCGCGAGAAGAGGACTTAATGGTTCCAGCTGGTCGATTTTCCACGCTTTACTTACCAGCATCGAGGATACGTTGCTTGACAGAATGTTGCCTTCCGTGCCAGAATTGCCACGCCTTAATCTCGTCTTCGGGGCTCTTCTCTTCGCGGAACATCAGCATTACCACGCTCTACGCGACAAACCATCAAGTAAAGAACCTAAGTACTTTATTAAGCGTAATATTATAGGGGCTGACAAACATGGCGTCCGCTGACGTACTCGATGGTACTCGATTCTTTAGACTTTCTTCTCTTGTTAGATTGTACGGTACTAGACTTGGCAGCGTTAGGACTATGGAGTCGATATACATATGAATTACTCTAGCTCTTATTCGTAACAGAATGACGACGGACTGGAGACGAAAAGAAGAAAAGCATTTTCACGAGATTCAAGGGAAAATACAGAGTTTTGTTCATTTTGAACAGGAAATGGCCGTGGAAAAAATCGACGTGAACGCAAAAGCAACAGGATGCTGGGAATTAACGGGCATCGTGCAACAGGCGGCGAATGGAGCGTTGGAAAAGCGAGCGAGCGAGCGAGCGTTGGTGATCGAATCGAAAGCTTAGATGGTCGGTATGTCGTGGCAGACGGTACGTTCGAGCATATTCACGGATCGCGTGTATCGTAAATTACATGGCAGCGTGTAATTATGCAACACAAATTGCAGAGATTCTGGGATCAATAGGCATCGATGAGCGGTTCTGACAGTCGAGCGTTCATTTTTCGAATCGTACGCGCATTGACTTTGGATCTAGATGAGACTTCTGGCCATCACTGCCGGTAACGGAAAGTTGCAGGATCCATCGACGCAGCGACCACGCGATTCGTGATTTTCGCGTGAGCGTGGCATCGTTCGCGCGACATAGACACGCTCGAGCGCGCGGCTCACGACGCGCGCGTATAAATCACGCGGTACCGTATAATCCGGTAGCATAAATCGCACCATTCGACACTACTAATTCCCAATAAATGACCGCGTATTCGTAGATAGCCGTGTTATCGACGTTTTTCTCCGCTCGTGATCGTGATTCATTGGTAAAAATGTGTCGTAACGGGCGAGGTGTAATTATGTTGATTAATCGACGGGGACACGTGACAGTCGATTTTTTATCTTTGCCGCGAACCACCAATCGGACGGTTGTTTCGATTAAAATGGCGACGGTGGTAACAAGCAGGCAGTCGCGTCTCTGTAATTACGGGATATAAAGTTTCGGCATACGATACCGTAGTCTATTCATGAAAAAGATCAAATTCTTATAGCGTAACAGGAATCGCACGTTAATAAAAGTTACGAAGAGAGGTTGTAACCACGTCGCCGCCAAGAATGTTGTCAAATAGCTCGTTAATGCTTTCCCGGAAACGTAAGCATCGAGTGCTGTGTAATCGATGATAACCAAGTACACCACTTATCGCGTCGTCGTCGAGTATTAAACACGAAAATTGTATGATTAGCGGTTGCGATTCGGTGAGAGAAGTACGAAGCAGAAGTAGGCAAAATGTCAACGTAACGCGTAAACATTTTGCAAAAAATAAAAACGTCAACAAACGGCATTTTAAGGAGAACGTCGTTATTGTTGTCGAAGACGCGTAGAGGACAGCAGATGGTTTACGCGAGCAACACCGACGCGATACGATAAAGACGAATCTATCGCACGTTCGTGGCAGTTTGGTTATTGTCCCGCCATTTAAGCCGCGCGATCAGATAAAGCGTTAACCTTCGCGGTTATAACCAGTTTACACGTGTCCTGGGGCGTTTTCGCGGGTTAACATTCATACCCTAGCCGAGTACAGATTGCCGACAAATAATTCAGAATCAGGCAACCGTTCGACGGCGGTAGGAGATAAAAAAATTCATGGCTTGGAGTCGCCACGATAACACGAGTTTCGCGTGAGTGTGACATCGGTCGCGACAGAAGCACGCTCGAGTGCCCAGACCGGTGTTCTATGGAGATTTTTCGTGATTCGGGTGAACGGGCGAAGAAATTCAGTCACCGAGAAATCGCAGAGTCTATTAGCAACGCGAGATTCGGTCGGAAGAGTGGTTCACCGAGGGAAAGGTGAGCACCGAAGCAAAAGGATTTCGATTCGCATCTGTTGTTTCATTATGTTTTAGAATATAAGATTATTCTCTGTATAGACGGACAGAGAACGAAGAACATCGGAAGTCGTATAGGATCAAGCGTAGAGGGCAGGTCCAGCTCGAATACAAAACAAGACAAAAGAAAACAAAAGGAAAGCAATATTACAGTGGCGAACAGAGAGGGAAACTTGAGAAGAGGCTGAAGGAAAAAGAAAAGGTGTAGCAGTCTGTAGACGAGCGAAACGGAAGAAGGCAACGCAAATACAGTCCGGCAGAGGTAAGTGCGGGTAAGCATAGATAGAGAAAAGCGTAAGGGTGGGGTATGGATAAGCGAGGAGTTTGTACTCGCGGCTCCCTCTTCGGCTTCGTACTCGTGTAAGTACATCGTTCGAATCGCCACGCGGCTGAACGTTCGATTAGCAATTAACGAGGAAGTCGTAACTCCTCCTAGCGGGAGGGAAAAGAAAAGAATCGGCAGCTTTATCAGGATGGAAATTGCTAACGGTGCGCTGTGCTGCCAATTAGAGCCGCGAGAACAAACGACCTCGTCCGACTTCTTTCGACGCGAGTGCCCCGAACGGGTCTGCGCGAATTCTATCGCTCGTAGGAGTCGGTAAACGAGCATAATGCAATGCACCGCGACGCGACTCAGCTTAATGTGATTTAAGACAAGTACGTCGCAATTTTGCGTCACGATGCGCGCGTCTAGTTATCGTTGATTGCCGCGAGAGTTTTATTCGGTTTATCATTGTGATGTAACACTCGAGAACGTCAGCCAGTTCTCCCCTTGCAAGCTTTCGACAGACTAAATTAATTTCGCTTACCTTGACCGTTTGCCCCGCCTTTAGGGTTGGCTTATCAGGATCGGGAACGTAGTCCAACGTGATACCGTAGAATTGTCCTTTGTTGATGTAAGTGATTCTGTCGTCCTCGCGTCGTTGCGATGTGCTGATCGGTGACTCCAGGTGGTATTTGAACCCATAGGCGGAGAATCTGTGCGCAGATTACGCGAACGATAAAATCATCAAAGATTTTTCCTTCTCTGTTTAATCGAGATAGTTTGACATGCACCGCTGAATGTCCGATACGGATTGATTTTTAAATGGCCGGAGGTGATAACGTTAATAGACAGGCGCGCAAACGAATGTTTACACAGTTTTCAAGGCCAATTTCCTGCGAAACAAACACCTTTGACGTGTGCACACGGCTTTAAGTAGCGTTGAAACGCGAAATAAAAGGCGATTGTCCTTATCCGAAGGAAGGAAAAGTTTTTCCCTGGCCGCGGTTAGCCTATCAACGGCGCTGGCGTACTTTCCGCCGGTTCTAGTCGAGCTATTATCTTTATCTACGCGACGACACGCGTCGGAGACCAGCATGGTTTCCTATTCGCAGCAGTTTCTTTTCCTTGGCCACTCCGATCGCCAACGGAGAACAACCAGGACGGTGGCGGTGCGTGCGAGCCGATAACCGAGCTTGGCCCGGGTGAACGGCCTGTAAACCTTTTGCTCTTGTTTTATTCGCCGCACCGTCGGCGTCGGCGTCGCCTACCTCGGATTGCGCCTTATTATAACTTGTCTATCGGTTACGCGACCATGTCCTCGCTAGACCTCTACGGAAGGATCTCTGTCTTTACTTACATTTTTGGTATTTGGATTTTGTCCGCGTCGTTTTGCCTGCCGAAATCGTGCCATGGTCGCGATCTCGGCGGATTTGGGTTGGGGTTGGGGGTCGCAGCAGAGGATACCAGAGCTCCTCGTTGCACTTGCGCTTGTGCGTGACCCTGCTGCAGTTGTAGTTGCAGTGGTTGGTGGTGTATCACTGCACCGCTCTCGAGAACCACTGCGGCGCCAGCTGCTGTTCCTCCAGGACACAGTTCCGTGTAGTCGAACGAGGACTGTGAGAACAAGAAGCAAACTTTCGTTATTAATTCCATTCTAACCGTATCTTAGCGGTTGGAGACTAAACCCTTAGGCACGAGGCGGTTCTCTGTATCGCTAACGGATATTAGAAAGTTGAAACCGATGGGATATAACTCGTGCCGCGGTTAAATTATTTTGGATCGTTGGTACGATAAGGATTCGATACATCCAGGACTCGACGGTTGCTTCCAACTTTTCAGACTACTAAAACTACTCCGAGATAGCCGCCAGGAGCTCGGAGTATCGCGGTCAGAGGCGAACGCCAGCTTCTTCCGCGAAACAAAAGCGCAAGGAGCCGGAATAGAATAGGCCGGTGCGGTCTCGTAAAATTGACCAGGCTGGCCGCACGTGCTTCCATGCTTCCAGCGGTGGTTTGTTAATAAGCGGTCTCTGCCGTACGGTTTATTCCCTCGTACGTCTTTATGCGAAGCTCTCGAAGAAACCTCGAATGTAGCGCGGTTACCGCAGCTCGTTACTCGGCCTGACGAACGGCATCGCGGAAGCCATCCATCGAACCTAGTCGACAACGAATCCGAGAGAAGCGACGCCGACGCCGACGCCGACGCCGATGTTTCGTTTTATCGCGACGTTACGGCTGGTACATCTCCCTATCGTACCACGATAAATTAATACCGCGTCGATCCCGTGATTAGGAATATTTCCGCGTTCCTATGATCGTTTCTGCTTTATGCGAACTACCCGAGTCCGAGGGTTCCTTTCTGTCCCGTTCCGGCGTAAGGCTCATCCTCGCTAACCGTTAGCCGGTCTTTCGCATCTGTATTTTTAGTAAACTTTTCTATGTAACTTTCTCCGTATTTTTATCTCCTCTATGCCGTATTATTACGTGTACGATAAAAACGTGGAATAAAAATCAATGAAAAAATTATCAGATGAATCAGCTTTAATTATGCAGAAACGATCTCGGCTTAATCGGCCTGGTGGAATATTCAGATCGATGAAAAAAAAAACGAACGAAACGAGGTACGAGGGATTCTTGGCGCGCAAACACGAACGCCACCTTCGAGATTAATTGCTTCAACGCCTTCGACGGCGATCGCGCTTTTTCTCGATCGATTCATCTAATTGCGCCGCGATCGGAATCGTTTATACCCCCTTCCACTCGTTCGATGTCTCTCCATTATGCATTCTTTTGCGCGACACTCGAGCGCACGAGCATACTCGTGTATCGAACACGTGTCTGCGTGTGTTTTTGCATAGCAGCGAGTCGATATCTCGAGCGAATCGAGTTCGAGCGCAATAACGATCGAAACAAAACTTTGGCGTATCATTAGCCGCCGGTCAATACGATCGACGTATAGGAGTTTTTATCAGACTCGAGTCGCCGTTCGCGCAACGATTTATTATCGGGCTGCTGAGATTTGTCGGTTTTTAGGAGATCGAACCTATTTTTAGGAATTTCTTTGCGTAACAAGCTCTGTCCGATACGAGACTTCCCATTAAAGTTATTAAATTTTAACACAGGAACGTACGCGGTAGATAACAGTGTTGCGAAATCGCGGAAAGAGAAAATTCCGAAACAAGACGAGCATAATTACGAAATTGACGCGACCACGCTTCCGAATTTCACTTGGCTCGTGCTAAACGATTTACTTTTTATTTCTGCATCGGTGCGAGCTTTCCTGGCTCGTGGAATTTCCGTGTCCGCGGTAGAGATCGTGGCGATTCCCCTAATGGTCTTATCAAATAGCATCGTGTCGGTATCTCTCTAGCCCGTAGCGAATGTTACACACCCCGATATACGTGTTGGAGCGCGTCGAGGATTTAATCCGTAATTACATGTCTCAGCAGGCTGCGTTTAATGCAGCGGTGCGCAAAGTCTTTTATATTAAAATGTGATAAACGACAATAGAAGGAGGAGGAAATCGTATTCCGAGACGGCAATATTTTTAATCGAATAACGAAAACGTATAGGGTTGCTCGTTAACGAGTCAAGAAATCGTTCGATTAGCGTGTTAATCGATTTGATCGAATAACGAAGATGGTTGCGAACCGCTGGTCTAGTGTAACATGTTTGCTAGCAATCGCGGAAGTCGTCAATCGCCATGCCAGTTTATCCGAAATTACCTCGCCAAGCGAAACGGTCTCGAGGGAAAGAACGAAAACGAAAAAGGCAAATCGTTCCTGCGCGCGCATACCGAGACTCGAATATACGTATTTTAATTACTGTTGTACGTATCAGTTTTCGTGCAGAGCGTTTACACTCGCGATAGCTGGACGAGTCTCTGCTTTTATTTGCAACGTTTGCAAGAAGCGGAGCAGAACGGAACGCGTGCTTTCTAATTCGTAATGTCAACCGCGAATGCTAATGACTTACTCGCGCGGATAAACCGCTGCCCCCGTCGGACGATTAATGTTTCCGGAAGCGCTCGATTACGCGCGACAACCGAATCGCGCGTAGGAGTGATGAATCGCTAATGGTCCCACGTGGAAGTCTTTCGACGCTCGCGAAAATTACGCGAGAAACGTCCCGTGAGCAAACGATGCGCTACCCCCCTTTTCATCTAGCTCTTTTCCTTTGTTTTCGTCTGCTAGCGATACCCGTACAGTCCACGTACACGTTACGCAATCGTTCGCAAACCATCCAAACACATTATTAAATATAATTAAAACGATTGACGTTATAATAAACTTGACATTAAATTCACGGAAATCACAGAGAACTTACACAGTCAGGTGTTTTGTTCCCGATTCCGTCGACACTTCTTGCGCGTGATAATAATTAACAGCCGTCGTTACATAAATCTTTCAATAAAAATCACGTTTCGCGATTTTCCACGTGAAAATTTGCGTTCGGTCGTCGAAAATAGATTCCTAGCTACGCTCGTTTTCGAGTCGCGGGCTTTGTTTTCGCGTCCGCGCGGATCGTGTTTGAGATTTCGTGGTCGGAACGCAGACGAAACCGCGTTCGCGAAACAAGTGGCAAGTATTATACGATTCTCCGTCGAGGTATAAATAAATGTGTCAGTATCTCCGAGAGATATGCGTTGCTGATTATGTAAAACGCTCTAGTGTCGTTACCAAGCCGTGTAAGTTCTGTTCCACGAGAGCGCGCAGAAAATTATTGCGCGTGGAAGAAGTTATATCTAGCGAGATGGGGGCGCGATAACGCTTAATGGTAGGCGTTGTCCGATTAATTTGTTAGAGGCGATCAAAACATCTTTACGGTGTCTGGGCACGAAATGAACGCGATGGAAAGTGATCGGTGGGGGAAACGTCCTCGGGGAAAGTGTTTGGGCGCAACGACGAGGATGGTTCTGCACGAGTACTGTGGCTATTTTAAAATAGACTAGGCGATCGGTATTGTCGCGGACTCGTATACGCTCAACTAACCTGATGTAGCGCCGTGGGTGGATGATGATCTTGCCTGGGTGTGACAGCGTCGGCGCCGATGCCAGAGTCAGGGCTGGGAAGATCAACGGTCAGGACTTTGCTGCTGCTCGAGGACGAGCGTATCGCGTGTGTCGTCGCGTAAGAGCTTGGCACAACCTCGTACCTCGTGTACGAAGCGGTCGTGGTCGACAATGAGGACGAACTCGAGGAAGCCAACGGTGGCAGAGTGTCCCCGGTGACGTAGACCGCCGTCGCCTCTTGGTGCAGTCCACTCTGGTTCCCAGCATTCGCGGCGCCTGTCCCCGACGTCGACGTGTACGTGGACTGTAATCGTGGGCTGCAAGAGGTGTAGGGATCGTAGGGGCTTCCGTACTGTTGCACCTGTAAATTTGTCTTATTGGTAGTTTCTCAAAAAAAAGAAAAAAAAAAAAAAATCGGTAGAAGAAGCAGAAATTTGGCGTCAGCTCACCTGTAGTTGATGTTGATGATGATGGTACATTCCCGGTGGCGTAGGACTGTCTGGCTGAGCCTGTTTGTGCCTTTTGTTGGACTGTTGAGCCCCTCGGGAGGAGCTGAGATCCTCGGGTTCCCTTTTGACGCCGGCGATGCCCGCGCTGGAGGAACCGTCGTGTCTGAGGGATTGCGGGCTAAGCGGAAGCGGAAGGCCACCCTGTAGACTCTGGCCGGGACTGTGGGACTGCTGGTTGTACTGATGAAGGAAGTGGTGTAGTTCCCCTCCTCCGGCGCCTTCGCCGCCTTCCATGCGATTCGTCGAACCGGAACCGGAGCCAGGCGCCTCCTGCACCAGCAGCTTCTGGCCCATCACACCCCTTCAACAGTCCGTGGAGAATCGACCTTTAGCAGCGGCCCTTTTGTGCTCGACTTTCGAACTCGGGATCGGAATCGGAATCGATCGACTATGCTAAGTACGCGTGACGAATCGACTCGCGAACGAACCATTGCGCATATTTGCGCATTCTTTGGCTGGGTCTATCCGTTAAAGGGACTGGGATCCTTTGCCTAGTAAAAAAGGACGAAACGACACCTCCTTTACAGTGCATCGTCCTGTTTGCGAAACTTTTCCTGGGTCTCGTTCCAATTTCAGTTTCTCGATCCAACAGAATGTTGTTTCTAACTCATCGTCATTTATCCGTGCCCTCCAAGATAATTACCGTTATGGCTCTTGAAAAATATGAATTTCATCGGGCTCGGATAAGCTAATGATAGACTTTCAACTGTCCGTTAAATCAATCGCAATGTCGCTCGTATCCTATACCTTGTGGGAAATTATAATGTTAATACCGTATTAGCTAACTAATAGGGCGATTTATCGCAAGGCGCAGCGTTTATGACGAAGCTAAGACATCGATCGACAGTGCGATTTCTGCGGTACATTTGTCATCTCCGAGTTTTTACGTTCCACGGCGATATCATCGGGCCGCGTAACATTCAAGAAAAGCATAATTAATTCATAGATTTTCAAGGTCCGTCACGGAAAATAAATGCGTAATGTGTCTCATCAATAACGTTATGGCGTGCGCGTGTTTCGCAACAGCAGATTTTCTCAGTAAAAATCCGAGATAAAGACACCTCGGATAAATATCAATGTTCTCCAATCATTACTAAATATAAACGATAAGTGCGAGGCATTCCTCTGCGCTCGTTAATTAATCGCAGCCGATATATCGTTAAGCCTATCTCAACTCCGCAATCGAATGTCATCGTCGCGCGAGGTTCTTCCCAAAATATTCGCGAGGACAGCTCTTCTGGATGCCCGGAGGCGTTCAGGAATCTCCATGAATCTTTCGTCCTACATCACGGATTAGCATCGCATTACCACGCGACGGCATTAAAGCAACGCGGAACGAATACGACGTCTCCCTTGGATCCATTTCACGTAAGCCGAATTCATGAGGCCGCGGCAGCCGTAGCCTCCGGTTATGACAGACTGTGCAGCTTTCCGTCGTGGAAAGTACAACCGCGCTGCGCCAAGTCCCAGATCTACCGGTCGTTTTTCCTATCCTCACCTCTTCAAGCACAAGTGTGCCGAGGGCGACGACGTGTCACGTCTTTCTCTTTCTCTCTCCAATTCATTCCTCTACTGTCTCCATCGCTGGTACTTCTCTCGTGTCACCCTTTTCCTCGAGGATCTCCGTGCCTCGAAGAGCGAGTCGAAGCAGACAGAAAACACCGTTCGCGAGGTGGAAAGAGGCCGAAGAAGGGAAGAGAGAGGGTTGGAGACGAGTGAGATCAGGTATCAAGTGTAAAAAAAGAGCCATTGTACGGGAGCATCTGACCGTAGGGTAGGTACCACAGTGGCGATGTTCACCGGGCAGAAAGAGAACGAAAGAGACGCGAGGACCGTCTACAGAGGAGGAACGAGAGAAAAGGACGTCGAGACAGGAGAACCTGGCGGAGGTTGCCACGACACGGGCAAGGACGAGAGCAGGGAAGAATGGAAAGAAAAGGAACTGTGGAAAAAAGAACGAGCCGAGAGCGAAAAAGATAGAGCTAGTGTGCACCGAGAGCGTTGGCAGTTTATAAGGGTCCCCTGTATTGTGGATACGTATTATCATGCTAAATATAACATGTTAACTACTTCGCATAATGCCACCCCGCGATCCTCTCGATTCTTTCCCGTACGACCGTTCGACGAATCGCGTTTCCGCGCCCAGAAAATTTTATTGCCGCCCGTTCGAGGCAGATGCACCCGTCGTCGTCGTCTGCCACGATATCCGCGGTTCCCAGACGAGGAACACTCTACCACGTACCCAGAAAAACGGGAACGAAGTCGGAGTGGTGGGCCACAACCATGGAACAGACTTCCTGGTTAATCCTCGTTTATCGAAACTCTAAAAGTGAAACATTAAAAAATGTCGACATCGCCCACTCCTCCTGCATCAAGAAAATTAACGACATTTTCTGAATAAATTCAGACGGGATTCGTCGTCGTGACATTTCAATTTCCTCCTTTCCATTTTAATCGTGGGAGTTGAGTTACGTTTAATGCAAAGCATCGTTGTAAAATTCTGACGACTGGAATCAAGGACTCGCTCGGTACCAACGAAGACTACGACCCGTTATAATGAAACTAATAATCGCATTGAAACGCGACGATTCCTGTTAGGAATTCTCGACGGCGGCTAATACTTTCCAGCAAAACAATAATGCCGCTACTTTTCCCGTTTACACAGACACGCGAGTGCCTTTAACAATTATGGAAGGTCTATCGCAAATTAAACGAAGAGTCGTTTAACGGCGAGTCGTTCGCACAAGTACCATTCGTTGGAAAAGTATTCGCGTTTTGTATTTACCAAACCCATCACTGGCTATTCTCCGATGAAATTCGTTGGAAATTTAGGAATTTGCGACCGTTTCCCGTTCAAACGAGCAAAATTATTCCACGTAACGTTACACGACCGTTTTTGCTATGCCTTTCTGGCCACGCCAAGCAGACGCAACGCGCGCGCGCATCGTCGGTGGATGCGCAAAACAGGCAATTACGCGCTTACGGTGCAGCATTATCGACGACAAGACGGACGCACCTCGCGAGACTCGAGGTCGTCGGGTCAGCGGAGGGTCACGACGAGCTCACGGGTTCGCGCGTGCGTTCGCACGCGTCGTTCGTGGAAAAGAGGAAACCACGCGGTGCGGTATCCAAGATAACTTTCAAGTAGCTCTGCAAGTTCATCCGCTAATCGTTCGGTTTGAATATCGATTGATTCGCGACCGAATTTATTTATGTCGACTTTTCCGCGTTGTTATCGTTCGAGTCGGGAGATCGTTAGGTTGGCCCGGAGATCGAAGAGGTCACGCGACTTGCGGTACCGAGAAGGACCCGCTTGGAAACCGGAATCGGCGTTTCTCAAACCGGAAATCGATGGCGGAAGAGTGTGCGTGCGCGGGACCTGCCGGCGTTGGACTCGAAAGACAGGTCCGACCGAGTGGCGCTCTACCAGCTCCGGGGCTGGGTCACGCGTTTGATTATTATTGTCTGGCCTCTACCTCCTTCTTTTTCGCCGTGTTCTTTTTTCGTTTTACTCCCTGCTTTTTCCACCAGCGATACGAGTATACACGCGTGCTTTTTGCCTTTACCGAGCACGCACGCACGCACGCAACCACCACGTCACCTGTGCGCGCAGCACGTGCCACTGGGTCCACGGTATGCATATGTACGGCCGCGTTTTTTGACGTTCCACCCAGCGAATTTAAATGCGTATCGCATGGACAAGCCTGGACTTCTGCTTGCGACGCTTCTACGCCGCGCCGCTGCTCCCGTCTCGCGTCTTCGCGGACGCGGCACGCTTAGGTAGGGAAATTGCGTCGTTCCGGGAAGACGGTGTTTCGGGAAGCTTTGGGGGATTTGTTATGTCGGACACGCATCCGGCGGCACCGTTGGATGTTTTGTTCGTCTGTTTCGTTCAAGAGTAATCTAATTAGATCTAGATTACGGGCTTCGGCCTGCCGCGTTATGCATATGTAGGGTCTAGGAATAATAATGTATCGAGGACGAAAAGTAGTTGGACACGAAAATTCCCGGAACGCAACCACCACCTCTTGGACGCATTGATTTATTAAATTGTTCCACGGCGCGCGGAACTCCAATTAACAGCAGTGCTATCAAACCGCGACCTGAAACCGACAACTGGTTTAATAAGCCTGCGCAAAGATTCCAACCACGTGCGATCCGTCCAACTCAAAGTTTCATTAGCACAGAGTCACGATCGCGCTATATGGCGGCGACGTTGTCGATCTCTCTTTTTACTCGCGTCTTTGGGTCTTTGGCCGGTGAAGTCGTCTCCTCGACTGCGAGTACACGACTCTAGCAATAGCGGACCCGAAGAACCAGCTGTAGAGATCGTAAGGTCAAAAACACGATCCGTGATCTGGAAGTGGACGCGTTTTCGCAACGGGCTGCAGGCTCGAGGTCTGGAGGATTGGACTACTATCCGTTGCAAAACGGGAAGGCGTGGACGTCTTAACGCCTGAGAACCGGAATCACACGAAACGGTAGTTCACGGCTGTCGTTCTGCGGCATCGGTGGTAATTGAGACGCAGAGGTCGAGGAACTAGCGGCGTTGGATTAGAAATCGTAAAGGACATTCCTTCGAGACTCGTTACGCAAAAGGAGACCGCGCGAACTGTCACGCGTGGTATGGAGTCGTTCTAGGGTTACCTAGGGTACGCCTTCCTCGTCGTTTGCTGCAATTATTAGGTAAAAAGTTATGGACCATGACCGGCTTTGGAGTTCAACTCTCCGTTTTCTTTTTTCTACTAAAATAAAAACGACCAACTCGACGAGAGGAAAGGACCTTTTTCCCTCTCGTATTCAAAACCGTTCACCTCTTCGGTAGTTGAACGAAACCTCCAAGATCTTATCGCTCGGATCTCACACCTCGAAGTTAACAACCATCTCTGCGTACAGTTTCGTTGTTCCAGTGTCTCCCGTAATTACGCCTAGCGACCACGATTCGCTAGGATCCCATAAAACGCGAGGCTTCGGGCCCCGTGTCGCGCTGCAGTCTTCCACCTAGACTTGCTCGATGAAAACCGACTCGCCGCCGCGCCGCGGCCGTTGGAAAACGCGCGAGAGTGTGCTAGAAGTTAAGCGAGCAGCAGGGGCGCGGCGATGGCGGGAAACGTTTACGGCGTTTTGTGATCATAAATTCAAATAAAGGGGAACGCGCTCGCGTTACGTGTCGGGCATAAAGCACCGGTGGACAGCGAAAACGGAGCATGCCACTCGTCTCGGCGCGGCTTGATTCTGGTTCTTCAGGTCCGTTTCGTTTTACGACGTGACACGAGGCCCCCTCGTCAAGTGGGTCAGAGG